GAGGCTCGGCGGCCGAGCCGCCGAGTGCTCATGTGACGCTCTGACTCAGGAGCGTCTCTACCAGAAATATACTGGGAGCGCACCTTCCGTCAAATTATTATTGAAACATGTTTTTTTATTAAATAATTTATTTCTATTAACATAAAATTTTCTATTGTTAATTTATTCATTGTTCCTTAATGATATACAGTGTCTCGTAAGATGGGTCGGGGCCGCATTGGGGGCAGAAAATGGATCAAAGGAAACAAAAAGTTCTTATACCATTTTGATACTTGCTATAGTTTTCGAATTAGAAAAGGAAACGTCTAAGCCAATATATGATTAAGCCGCGAATTCGTAGAACGGCCTACACTCGAGCGACAGCGGCGGCGATGTAACACATAATTATGACGTAACATTTCGACAATAGCTTTTCACATCATCTGTGAGATACTATTGTAAGATGCGTTTTTTTAAATGTGATTTCCCCAGTAGGTCTACTCCACAAAAAGAAGAATCAAATACTCGTACGTGGCTTGACAGGAAAGCAAAATTATATATCGTATTATACAAAAGGAACGAAGAACCAAAGAAAATAGAAACAATCAATTTAGGTATATAAAAAAATTATTTTTACTTTTTAAGTCGTTTGTTCGATTCTACTGAGAATGGAATGGTGTATCCACAGAGATGTTGGAAGAACTAATTCGCATCAACGATGATAATGATGCTCAAAGAAAAACGTTTATTATTTTTTATTATTTTCATTTTGGAAAAAGAGCATTCACATAAATATGTGGAGCATGGAAAAAATTCGAAGAACAAAGTTTCTGAGAAATGGATAGTGTGATGTATTTAAAATTTTTTTAAATCAACACTCTTTTCTGATCGTTATCATAATTATGTAATGTATTAGAAAACTACATATGTTAAGATATAAGTATATTATTAAGGAACAATAAATAAATTAACAATAGAAAATTTTATGTTAATGGAAATAAATTATTTAATAAAAAACATGTTTTAATAAATTTCAAATATTTGAAGGTAGCTAAACAATTACAAAATATAAATAATGAAGAGCATACAACCACAACAATAGATGTTAACGCAAGTCATATATTTAAAATTCATATATAAATAAGTAGACGTTTCGGTCAAGATTTGACCATCATCAGTACAAACAAGATAACAATAAATAAAAAACTTACAAAATAGATTTTAATTAAGCAAAAATCGCTAGTTCGAAGATGTTACAATAATATCAAAATAAAATTACATAAAAAAAAATTATTAAAAAGAAATTACATAAAATTAAAAACGCAATGCTTGCAAGTTTCTAGATGGTGGGGGTCATTCGCTGGAATCAGCCCGAAATGTGCAGATCTTTGCGAGCACTAGTTCATTTAATTGTTTACGATTCAAAAATTTTACTGTCGCATCTTGTTGTCACAAATAAGGTGAGTTTGTGGCACATTCCATAGAAAGAAAATTTTCGTTTTGTAATAATTATATATAACCTGTAAAATTTATATTAGTTGTAGATACATATAATAATTTCTATCCAGTCTTGAAATTGTGTTGAGGTACGGATTGTTATTTATCTTTCCCTTGAGCGACGTGATGCAACATCAAATTTGATGTAAATGCGGCTATCCTATATAATTTTACTCTTTAATTATAAAATTGCTGAAAACGGCTTGAATCTAGAGTCGAAACTTTCATATAGGCCGGTATATAAATATATTTGATTAATTGATCGAATGAATATATTTAATCTTTTCTGTATGCTAAAAAGTTTCTGTCTTCGAAATGTTCCCGTTCAGAGAGCTACGCCAAAAGTGTACATATTGCCCGTGGACAATCAGCGTTCAGGCAGCGTAAAAAAATCGTATCAAGACAAAGTGAGATAAAGCAATATTTGAGCGTTTACTGGCGTATTCATAGTCAATTCTTATTTCAAGACTGTCTTAAGTAATGTGGCCCTCTGATTGGTTCGTGACATATGAAGACTGAATTTAAGACGATCTTGAAAATAAGAACTGATTATGAATACCAGCCATTGACTCATTATTATTAAAATCGGTATTTTGTTAATTTGCACACTATTTTTCGCCCTTACTCCCATAGCCCCTGTTATTGTTATTTATTGTTTATAATTATCGGGAGTCCATTAATTATTATTATTAAAGTAGTTAAAATTTGACAGTGATTAATCGAGCTCTCAATATTAAAAACAATATTACAATAAAAACCAAGTAATTAAGAGCTAATACACATTTATTATTAATGTTATTATTAATGTACATCAACAGTTCTTTATTCTTCACCTGTACATATATTTCCGACGTTTCGGTTGCTTTTTTTAGCCATCTTCATGGTATTACATTCAGCATAAGAAACCAAAAATTAAAATTTAAATGCTATTATTGTGACTGGAGACGCAATTGGCAAACCCCGAGTAATTCTGCATTTGATCATGTGAACTCTTCTAACGGAGTTAAAATTTGTGTAATATTTGCATAATTAATCCTTTTTGTTACGACAGGCGATTATAGTCACTTTCTACAAGACTCCACTTGCATTACAATGGATGACTATATCGCTCATCAAAAAATTCCGTAATGAAGTATACTCCGTACATTTATTCTGAACTTGCAAAATACAATTCTATCTATATTTTGTTTATGTTCTGATTCTATTCTTACGCCAGTAAACGCTCAAATATTGTTTTATCTCACTTTGTCTTGATACGATTTTTTTTACGCTGCCCAAACGCTGATTGTCCACGGGCAATTTGTACACTTTTGGAGCGGCGTCTTGTTCAATGGGAACATTTCGAAGACAAAATCTTTTTAGCATACAGAAAAGATTAAATATATTCATTCGATCAATTAATCAAATATATTTAATTATATAAATATTGCAAATTCTTTTTTTTTTTATAAAAGTATTTTCAAAATTATTGAACTACATATAAGATTAACTGTTCAATAAGCAAAAATTTAATAATTTTGATATTTTCAAGTAGTATAGGATTATGTGATTATATGATTATGTATTATATGATTTTAATGTTAAATAATACAGTCACGGACAAAATTGAGTGGACACTTATTTATTTTATATAAAAGCGCTGTAATTTTATCAATTTTTCTAATCAATTTCTTATTTTCCTAGTTTATATTATAGTTACATTGTTATCAATAAATTTGGCTAGTAGTTTTATAGAATAATGTGATTTATTTTAAGTAAAGATTATTACAAACTAGAGAATACAACAAAACAATATGGACAAAATTGAGTGAACACTGCTTTATCGACCGAAATCAGAGTCATAAATGTCTCTTGTTTACATTCTATATATAATCTGGAATGTTTTGAATTTCAGTACTTATATCCCGTTCCACTGACATCAGTATATTTAAAAAAATGGAATCCCCCACCTCCCCCGCGGAAAGAAATTTCGCTACAAATTCGAAAATTAATTTGCCACAAAATACATTAATACGTCTCTTTCGTTCTGGAGAAAAGAGTGGAGTGACGAGAGTAAATTTGAATTGTTTGGTAAGAAAAAAGACAAAGAGTTTAGAGAAAATCAAATGAAGCATTTGGACAAAAATTTATCTCGCAAACTGTAAAATATGAAGGAGGTTCCATTATGATGTGGGGTGGAGGCTGCTTCTCTTGATCCAAAATTAGAAATTTAATTGCCCGATGGAATCATTAACGCTGATATCGACCTCATTAATTAAAATTTGGAAGAATCAATAGAAGAAAATGGATATTGCTAATGATTTTGTTTTCTAACAAGACAATGCTCCCATACACAAATCCAAGAAAACCATAAAATTTCTCGAAGATTCCGGAATAGAAGTTTTAGATTAGCCTTCGCAAAGTCCGGACTTGAACCCCATTGAGAACTTGTGGATGAGAAAGCCATCGATAAGAAGTATCGATTATTAACAGATCGAATAAAGCCGCATTTTTCGATAGTTTACAACGATTAGTGTATATATATATATATAACGAAGGATAAGATTGAACATTTAGTGGATAGTATTCCTAGGCGATTACAAACGGTTATTAAAACTAAAAGAGGAAATACAAAATATTTGAACAACATAAAAAGCGTGAAATATGAAAAATATGAAAATATCCATTTAATTTTGTCCACATTGTTTTGTTTTTCTAGCTTGTAATAATCTTTACTTGAAATAAAACGTTATTCTATAAAACTACTAGCTAAATTTGCATTGATGACAATGCAAACTATAATATAAAGTAAAAAAATAAGAAATTGATTAGGAAAATTAATAAAATTATAATATTTTTATATAAAATAAATAAGTGTCCACTCAATTTTGTCCGTGACTGTATGTTAGATTGGGAAAAAGTTTCTTCGTATTAAAAAAAAATCTATTTGCAAAAGTTTTTCATTTGCTGCGAAATTTTCGTTACAATTATATTATTCGCTAGAGCAAAGTTTCAGCTTTAAGAATCTGTTTTTTAAATTGCGGTATGATGATTTTTATCAGAGTTATGAACAATCAAAGTCAGAATGCTCCTTTATTTAACTCGCGAATAACTCAGGAACAAAAAATCATAGGAACATTTTTAAAAAATGATTTTGTAGGGAAAGCTTCAAGCTTTCACGATAGATAGTCGAACATTTTCGTAAATTTTTTTTGGACACGTGAGAGACTCCTAAAGTGAAAAGAAAATTTTTCATCTTTTTCAGATCGTAATTTTTTAAATGTAAAAATTACCAAAGAATCATCAATCACAGAAACTTAAAAATTATAGTAATCTTTCGAAAGTAGAAATTTCAAGCTTTGAAATCCTTTTTTTAAATTTAAATTTCGTTCATTTTTGACGAAGATATTATATATACAATTTTGAATTAAAAAATGTGAAGAAACTTTTTTCCCGACCCAATATTATTTTAATTATACATTTTACAATACGCTGCTCATTATAAATTGTTTATAACAATTTGATACTTTTTATAATCAGGATAACAATAAAATTTCGGCCAATGTTAAAGTATTACCAGAGATAACACTTGAGCCACCGTTTTTGGACCAACGCTTAGCTTCATTAGATCATTTACGAATTTCTGTTGATTCTGAAAAAGATATGAAAAAGCAGGAAAGAGTAGAAAACTTGGACGCTGCAGTGACTGCTTGGCCAGCTTGGGTTTATAGACAGTACGATCCTATAAGACTTTCTTTTAGAATACGTCAGCATCTGCAATTTCTTGAAACTAGTAAGTGTTGTAAGTGTATAAATAAAATTATGTTTTAATATTTATCACAATCTTTTAAATTACAATTTACATTTTAGGAGGTGGTAGTGTACCCAAAAATCCCATAGATTTGTCCTTTTGGGTTGCACAAAATATCTTAATGGATCACAATGAAAGACTCATGTTGTTAACTTATGACTGTGCTATTTCTCGATTACAAAGAGAAATAAAGTATCTCGTAGAGGTACATATAAAATAATATCATATCATATATAATAATTAGATTATGTGCACTTTTTATATATCGTCTTTAATATAAACATCTGTGATTTGAAGGATAAGATATACGTATGCGTTAATTGTGAATCCTTTATTGGGAGGCAGTCACATATGTTCCCAATGAATAAAGAAGGCCCACAGGGTACTTATGTCAATCCTGGTGGCGTTATACATGAAACTATAACTTTTTATCATGTTCAAGGAGTTGTACTTAACAATTCGGATCCTTCGACTGAGTATAGCTGGTTTCCGGGGTAAAATGCGACATTGTATATCATGAATCATGCGCGAGTTTTGTTTTATCTTTAATAACAGTAATAACTATATCATTTTAGATATGCATGGACAATAGCTATCTGTAAAGGTTGTCGTCATCACGTTGGTTGGAAGTTCACAGCAGTTCAAAGTAATTTAAGGCCCAAAGAATTTTGGGGATTAACACGTAGAAGCTTGAAAAATAAAGATTTAAAAGTTAAGAAGAAGAAATAAACAGGATTAAACATTAATATACATTAAGCATTATAATTATCTTAGTTATTAGGTGGATATTCTTTGATTCAAACAAACAGCATACAGCCATGTCGTAGGATATTGTTAGCGAATGTCATTTATTTAAAATTCTGACGTTAAAAAATATATAGATCTAATCTTTTGGTCAAGTTTCGACTATCATTAATAGTTAAAAACTATATTAAAACATATTACAAATTTGCGCTAAAAGTTTCTATAAAATATAGGCTGTTTTCAATTTCTTACGTTAGTCGAAGTAAAATAATGCAAGATGTTATAAATTAAAATTGAATGATTTTTTGATACTGTCTTCAAATTCTTCGTTAGTCATATTGATATGATATTATTATGTTTTCTTTTTTGAACGCTGTGTGCAAACGCAAGACTTTCAAATACTGTGCTAGAAACATGATCATCAATGGTTACACAATAATTGTCCGAAATCTTACAAATGATATCAATATCACACTATTCTCACAGAAGGTTATTTTTACTATCCTTTAATAATTAATTTGTAAGTGTTCAAAAAAGAGAAATCTTTAACATAAGAATATTTTATCAATTTGACTAAAAAAGAATTTGAATACAGTAAAAAACACTTGGTTTTAAAAATAATAGTAATTAATTCCCGAAATGAATAAATTAATCTAATAACTAACTCAATAGCTTTAGGAATTAGCGCTGTAGAAAGTGCGCGATAAATATCAATGTTAAGTCAACGTTTAATCAAGTATCTGACTAATTAGAACAACTAATTACAAAATTTTAACAATCGCTCGCAAACATGTTTTGGCTAATTTTTTAGCCATCTTCAGTACATACTATTTCGACGAGATATAAGGTAGATCCATTCAGTGTACAATGTTCATCGTGTGTTTGTATCAATAATGTTTCTCTGTGAGGTGGTCAGTTCTTCTTTTCCACTTCACAAAGAAACATTATTGATACAGAAACACGATAAGCATTGTATACTGAATGGATCTATCTTATATCTCATCGAAATACTATATAGTGAAGATGGTTAAAAAATTAGCCGAAACATGTTTGCGAGCGATTATTAAAATTTTGTAATTAGTTGTTCTAATTAGTCAGATACTTGATTAAACGTTGACTTAACATTGATATTTATCGTGCACTTTCTACAGCGCTAATTCTCAAAGCTATTGAGTTTGTTACTAGATTAATTTATTCATTTGGTTTTAATTTGTAACATCTCGCATTCAACTAACATAAGAAATTGAAGACTACCTGTATTTTGTAGAAACTTTCAGAGCAAATTTGTAATATCTTTTAATATAGTTTTTAACTATTAATGATGATCGAAATTTGACTAAAACGTTTAGATTTATATTTTTTAACGTTAGAATTTGTAGAAACTCTTTCAGCGCAAATTTATAATATCTTTTAATATGGTTTTTAACTATTGATGATCGAAACTTAATCAAAACATTTAGACTTATATATTTTTTTAACGTCAAAATTTTTAATAAATGAAATTCGCTAATAATATCCTGTGACATGGCTGTATGCTCTCTGTTTGAAATGTTTATATATTTAAGTCATCTTATAAAGGTTTAATTTGGATATTCTTCGAATCAGTACATCATATTTATATATTATATTACTATTGCGCAGTATATTATTTTATATATCGATACAATATACGTATTATTTTCAAAACAAAAGATTAAGGTTAATTGGTGTATAAATTAAAAGATTATATTTTACAAAGATTACGATTTTTTGTTTATACGAGAGTCTTCGACTCTCGAAAATCATTTAACACAGTTTTATAAAGGCGAAGATAAATAAAGATTCTTTAAAATATAAGATATAATGTGAAGTATTAGCTACATACGTACACATGCACAGTCTGCGTTTAGTAGAGAAACTAATTAGTGCTTAGTGATTCTTTAATATAATTGGTTCCTACTTATATCCAGCAAAGTACTAAAGACAAGAACCAATCATATTACAGAATCACTAAGTGCTAACTAATTATTTTTTAAATCGACGTGACCTTGACTTGGCCTTGGTGATGTCACCCAAGGTCAAATCAATGGTACTTTCTTATGCCCTCCTCCGAACTACACAACTTTTGTAAAACATTTTTCTGTATCTATCATAGTTTTCGAGAAATCTTAATGCATTATTTAAAATGGGACCCTGTATATATATTTAAAACACGAGCTAAATCTTAACTTATGGCCAATTTCTTCATTTTTAGATAATTTTATACACGAGATATCCCCCAAATATCTTATGGATAAATGAGATACTTGAAAGATATCTAAGATATCTCCTGGTTGTCGGCAACTTACTTAGAGATGAAGAAATTGGCCATTAATTTTCATTCTGTTATCAATATGTAATGTATATGCAACGTTTTCATTATATACAGATTTTCATTTTATTTTCATTCTAACATATTAAGTTGTAAATGTATCATAATAAAAAAAAGAACAAAAAAGGATTCTATATAAATAAGGAAGTGAAAAGTGCTAAGAATGTGAAGATAAGAATAGGAAAAATTTGATTGTATTATTTTTTAATTATGAATAATTATTATGCACGACCATTTGGAGATAATATATTTTTTCTGAAAATTCTCTTAAAAATTTATTTAACATATTAATATGAAAGAAATCATTTACTACGCTTAATGTATAAAAGGTATTCGATTTATTTGTAATTTAATTACACTTGAACAATAGAGTGATTTGTAAAAATACTTTGTATATGCAAAGAATAATTGTTATATTAATAATGATATGAGTTATGTATGTAGATTATTATTAAGTGAGCGCAAAAATTCGTGCTTTATTTATTATTAAAACTTATGAATTTTCGAATTTCATAATTTTTACATACAGAAAACTATGAGCTGGACAAAATGGGAAATTTTCTTCTTACTAGATCTGTCATGTGTCTAAAAAAAGTTGCAAAAAGTTTCGACGTTCTAACGTGAAAGCTTAAAGCGTTTAAAATGTTTTTTTTTCTATGAAATCGTTTTTTTTTTTAATATTTCTAATGACCAATTTCTTTACTTCGAAGTTGCCGATAACTTTATCCGTGAGATATCCTCCAGATATTTCTCAGATATCTCTCAGATATGTCGATTATCCATATCTGAAATATATCTCATGGATGAAGTCATCTATAGATGAAGAAATCGGTTATAAGAATTTTTGTTAGTGACTTATCGCAGATTAAATAAAAACAACATTTTGACTTTGACTGTTTACAATTCCGTTGAAGATCATCATATCATCAAGGTTGGGCAATGTTAAGTTAAAAAGTTAATTAATTTTAACTTAATTTATTGTAGTTATATTTTAGACTCTTAACTTTTTAACTTAATTTAGTTACATTTTATTGGTAACTATTGTAGATTCAGGTTTGAAATAAATATGTTTTCGTACAAACACACTTTCTAATTTTATTTTTTTAACCAGATCACTCCAAATATCAGATATTAGGAATGTGATTTAGTTTTAAGGATTTTGCAAGAGATGGCATTAATATCAGTGTTGTCGAAAACATTCCAATCACAGTTACTATTTCTTAATACTTTAATATTACTCTATGATATTTAGTCGTTTACTAACAATAGACACAGTAAACATTGTGTTTATACCATTTAATAAATGGAACTTTCTAAGGAGCATTTTCGACATGCGTTGCTTTTGTTTTTTAATTAGAAGAAAACAGCGGTTGAAGGTCATAAAATTCTAATAAAAATTTATGGAGATGTTAATTAAGACACGTGAATATTGGTTCTGTCGATTCAAAAGTGATGATTTCAATAACGATAAAAGCTAGAAAATGCAGATTTGCAAGCATTATTGGATGAAAATCTAGCACAATCCACTTCAGAGAATTAAATGTTAATCGTACAACAATTATTGAACGTTTACATGATATATTTTTTAAATAAGTTTTTGAGAAAAAAGAGAGTTTTTGAGGAAAAACTCTTAAAACTAAATCACACTCCTAATACAATAAAGATTTGTGAATAGTTTATTTACTAATTCTGATATGTCTAAATAATTCCAATTAATTTCGATCGGTTATTTGTCAAACTAATTACTTAGTCTTACTTTTTGTCTTCTTTCTATCTCTCGCCTTTTCGTTCTCTCTGCGGTTCTCGCTCCATCCATCCGCTCATCGCTCATTCCACGCTCCGATAATCTCCACCGCCTCATTAAGTATCTACTCATCGAAATCCCCATTGCTGAACATTCTCAGGCCATCAAAATCTTACACTATTAACTTCTACTTTGTTTTTTTAAAGTTAATTTTCAGCTATAATGAGAAAGAAGCGAAAAAAACAAGGATTTTGCGGAGCGGAGAATCGCCATGGATTATGAAGAAATATAGTCACATTGAAATGCTTTGTATTCTTCAAATTAATTTAAATCATATCAAGTAGGCGCAAGACCTATTACAGAAAATGATAGAAAGCAAAGCGAATATAGCTGTTCTATATATGATAGCTACAGAGCCGTATCATATTCCGATGGATGACAGATGAAGTGGCTCTGTTGATGGTAATCCCCCAATTGTTGCAGTTATGTGGCAGCCGCTGGCAGGACGTGGTAGATCCTAATGTGTAGGGTGAGTAATCACTGATAAAGGGAGTGATTTCATTTCTGTAATGCATGACGATGTGATTATAGAGTGTTATTTGTCACCAAATAGAAGGCTTGAGAGTAAGTAAATAAATAACGGGGATTCTAACTTAGGAGCTCCGAGGGAGGGTGAGGGGCAGGGGGGGTAGGATGGAGAGGGGTGACATCATTAGACCGCGGCGAGGAGAGGGGTGACATCATTAGACAAGAGGGTGACATCACAGAGGCAAGGGGGAGGATGACGTCCCAGGAGGTGACGTCACTATATGTGGGAGATGTCGTCGGGGGTGTGCGGGGAAATTACTACGTAGGAAATTACATAGCGCAGGATATGCGGAAAATTACGTCCATGTTGCGGTGATGACGTCACGGGGTCAATGGCTGCCGGGCACGGTTCGCCGTCGCCGCCGCCGCCCATGGTGGAAGGATTACATGGTGTGTGCAGTTGGACCGTGTCTCTTTCTAAAAATCTGTGCTCTCCTTCTATTGACTGTTCATAGTAAGCATGAGCTACCAACTGCGAAACACGAAATATATTTCGCGTTAAGACGATGGTATACTGAATCTTTCCTTGTTTGACACACTTTATAATGCATCTTAGTTTCTCTTTTTAACCTTCATAATTTCTGTCTTAAATTAAATATTGCAAAAAATTAAATGAAAAATGACAGTGTCAATAGCCAATGGAATAAATAAAAGGACATCATCAGTACAGTAAGTATCAAGTGTCATATCTAATTAATTACGAAATTACTATAGTAATTAAAATTGTAATATATAAGTAATATTAAGATTATTAGTTATAAATGAAATACATTTATTTTTGTTAAAAATAAAGTTAAAAATTAATTGTACCATTGATAAAAAATTTTTCATGCATGA